GTGTCTTGCTTCAGGTTGGTGGATGGACTCAAGTGTATGGAGATGCTCTGTCATTTGCTACAATAAGAGGCGCTTCTCATGAGGCTCCTTTCTCACAGCCACAGAGATCATTTGTGCTCTTCAAGTCATTTCTTGATGGCCGGCCTTTGCCGCAGGAGTTTTAATGCCTTTGTTTTTCCTTTTTAGTAAATAGGTGAAGCTTGTGAATAATGTGGAGCATTTTTGGGAAATATATCATTTAATGGAGTGGAATATCAAAAGAGAAAGAAGAAAAAGTTTTATATGTTTGTGTTTTTTTTCTTTTAATTCTTTTCTTGTTCTTTTGTTTGACTGTATGAAAAGTTTATGTACTTGCTAGGTTTATGTAACGAGGTTAAGGTTTTTCTTTTAGTTAATTTTTGGAGTGATTGACTTTATTTGATAATGTATATTCAGGCGAAACAGATGTCTGCACACGGAACTTTTGGCATACAGAAAACAAGAAATGCCAATTTACATGCTTGCAATGTAATTTGGAATAATTACACATATATAATTGAGAAAAAAAATATAAGGATTAATACAAAATCACAAGTAAATAATTAGTAAAATGCAAAATATCAATTCTTTCCTTAAATTGTATAACTGAAGTGGATTTGGAAAAAAAAAAAAAAAACAAATGATTACTATCAGTTTTATCGATGAGCTTCGGGTTGAGCTTTCGCCTCCTCGATGGGCTCATCGTCGATCTAAGCTGCGTTCAGACTGCAATTGATGAGCTTTGGACTGAGGGCAAGGGCTGATTGGAAAATCTGAAGGGAATCGTGGGAGAAATCTTTGCGGCCCAGTCAGAGTTGCACGGCCGAGAAGCGTCCTTTTGAGCTTGCTGATGGGGAGAAGAGGGTCATGGCCATTCGAGTCCTAGATTCGATCTGATTAGATACTGAAAATTTTGAACATATCAATGGTCATGATCATGTAAGCATCCCTCGTCGCTCTTCTTTTTTGTTCCAAAACATGTGTATTCTTCACCACACTTTCCATGACATTGTTAGGGATTCTTGGCTGTAGCCAACTGGGCTTTTTGGGATGCGCAACCTAGAAGCCAAGCTTAAGAGACTATGATTCAGGTTGAACAGTGGAATGGGGATGTTTTGGAGACCTCTCCTAGCGCCTTTCTGCGGCTCAGAGTGCGTATGAGGGCGAGCCTATAATCTGGACTCCTCTCCGGAGAATAGGACCGCGATGTGTTGCTGTCATGCTGAGTATCTGCTCCGACCTTATATGGAGGAGGATTTCTGGAAGCAGAAGGCTGTCGTGCACTAGGTTGCTAAGGGGAAGCGTAATACTAAGTACTTTCAGGGGGTTGTGAGACAGAAGCGTGTTAAGTAGTATATCCATAATATATAGGACAAATGGTCATCCCTAACTCAGGAGTCCCAGATAAGGAAGTCGGTTGTGGCGCACTTTCAATCTCTCTTCACCTCAGAAAGGGACTTGCTTACGGCCCCCAACGCTTCTTTCTTCCCCACCATCCCTCAGTCAGTTGACCTTGTTGGCCTTTGCAAGCTCTCGAGCAGTGAAGAGATTAAGGAGGCTATTTTTTGGATTGATCCCAACAGTGTCTCTGGCCCGAATGTCTTCTCATCTCTCTTCTGGGAAATCTCTTCTTGTCTTTGCAATCTACCTTCTTTAGAGCCAACCCTTTTCCAAGTTTTGGATTTGGTTTGAGAAGTCATGGAAGATTTCACAATGGTGAGGGGTGAGATTCTGGTGTCAGTTTCCATAGGTTGTAAAGACTCTGTTGTATGGTTAAGGATCTTGGAGACTCCTGTGGTAATGTGAAGATCAGTGTGCGAGCTGTTTGATGAGTCATGAGCAGATGATTTAATATTCTGATTGGATTCTGGCTGATGAATTATTAGTTGGTTCCTGTGAGAAGACTGACTGCCCGTGGCTTGTTGTTAAGTATGGTGAGTAGGGGATGGTGTTTGATGAGGACTGTTTGGGCTATGGTGTGGACTTTTTGACCGGAGGTGTTGTTATTAGGTGCCCAAAACTGATTCTCTGCTGCTCTAAGCCACTCTCCGTACTGGCCCTCTTTAACACTGTTGGACTTGATATCTTCAACCCTCTTGAGACACCCTTTATCTAAGTGCCCTATAAATCCACAGTAGTGGCACTAGCTTCTTAACTTTTCGTATTTGAAACTTATGGCTACTATTTGATCACCAAGCCTAATTTTTGTGCAGCGAGGAATAGGCTCTGATAAGTCCAAAGCGACTAGAAGACGCATAAATTTACCTCCATGATTTCCGTAGTTCGCAACAACCACATTGTCAACTGCCTTAAAAACCTTACCAATTTTGATACCAACGTCTGTGCTGAGCCAATTGAGCGGCACATTGAGAACTTGAACCCAGATATTGAGCTCCTGGAAACAAGGGTGCTTGCTATGCAGACTGTCTCTCCATTCTTTGAGGATCAAGTATTGATTTTCAAAACTCCAATTGGTGCCTTTAAGAACTTTGTGAAGATCCTCCCGACTCTGAAAAATAAATTGAAAGAAATTAGGCTCCAACTCCTTAACTTCCATGGGGTGCGTAAGTCTCCATATTTGGCTCATTGACCTCTTGACCCCAATCCAACTGGCTATTCTGTCACCCACAATTTTGCCAAACAAACTGCGTTGGCATTCATCAGCACTGTATCGAATATCCTCTTGAGCTAGGTCCACCAACAATGCTTCTCTATCCGAAAGTAAGAAATTTTCCATACGCTGTGATAGATCATCATCCTTATTGGGACTTGTGGTTCTGGCCATGAAATTCTCGAGATTCTAATGCACCCTAAATTTGCGAAACAATTAGGGCAGAAATAAGGAATGAAAAGATAATCAGATCGAGACTAATGGATAGAAATACAATGACAAATTTAAGGCGAACAACACACAATCAATGTCAAAACAAAACACTATCACTGCAAATTTCGATCAAACTGACGCTCCCAACCGAGAGAATGAAAACGCTCCCAACCGAGAGAATAATATTAAGATTGTTTATAAATTAAATTTATAAACAACATGAATCATAGTTTACCTATTTTTTTTTTTTTGCAAACTGACCGGACACTTCGACTAGAAATAAAGGGAACCAGTATGGCGACCGGTCGAGTGTGCTTGAATAAAGCATTTGCTAGCTAATTAGTTAGCATCAGTCGGTTGGATTAGTATGATTCGATTTTTCAATTTATTATGTTATATCTAAATTTTTTTAATATAAATAATTACACATGTTTAAATAAAGGGTTAATTGCATTTAAAATCTAACCTTTTATTTAATTGTAAATAAAACTCAACATTTTCAATTTGACAAAAAAATACCAAATTTTTAATAAATATTGCAATTGTGTCTCAAAATCAGTTTCCGGCCGCCAATCACCTTCCGCCACCGCCAACCGCCACCCGCCATCGGTCAACTTCGTCAGATGTTGAAAATTTTTACATGATCTTGTAGCTCTCCTTCGTGCTGACAACATATCCGAGTTTCGCGAAAAAATTCCGACAATAAGGCTTACAATTTTCCGGTCAAAGCTCGTAGATATACAAATTTTCTCCGGCGTTCTTTCGCAAATTCCCGGTGACTCGCTTTGACCCACGTGAATTTGAAGGTACTGTTGAACTCCTCTCCTAAAGTCGCATCTAGTAACGTCCACCTTCGCCGGAATCGGTAAATTTTTCCGGTGACGACTTTTCCGGTCATCTTATTCGCAAATTTTCGGCCGACCTCCACGACGTTCTCTCCCCAACGCCGACCTCCACAACGTTCTCTCTTCGGCAAGCTTCCCCCAGCCGCGAGCTCGACTTCCAGCGACCTCCTTCGAGCCCAGCTATGAGCTCCATTTCCGGTGACCCTCTATGCACAGCCGGCCCCGAGCTCGTTTTTCCGGCGTGCCTTGGCCGAAAACTGATTTTGAGATACAATTGCAATACTTATTAAAGGTTAGGTATTTTTTTGCTAAATTGAAAAAGTTGAGTTTTATTTGTAATTAAACAAAAGGTTAGGATTTTAAATGCAATTAACCCTTAATAAAATTGAGATTTATAAATTATTTACAATGAACTTAAACATTTTAATATTTTAAATTATTTGGATATTGAATTGTTACTTTTTATATTAATTTAACTATATGTATTAAAATATAAATAAAATAATTTTTAGTTTAATCAATGGCCACCACCACCATCACCACGACCAAAATTTTTTTACAGTATATGTTTTATTTGTAAGAAATAAAAAGATTTCCTCCCTCATTTTCACTCTTCTAAAATACTACTAAATTTTTTTATATATAATATTTAGTGTTAATTATAGCTTAAATTCCACAACTTTTATTATAGCCCGTAACATTATCTTTTTGTTTTTATGAACTTACTTTTTTTTTTCTAAAAAAAAACAACCAAATGAAATATTTAACGCATTTCGCTCAGGATCTTATAAAGTTCATGACCGACTCTACTCGCCTTCTTTTAACAAGCTTTCAACATCAATTTTATTAGGCCTTCTCAAATGTTTTCTACATATATTCCAATGACAACATCAAAAAAACGTTTTATCCTTTCAATTGTCGTGCTTTCACCAATTTGTACATGTTCATCAAGGAGATCAACATCACAACCATACACAAGCATACTTAGAGTTGCGATAATTTTTTGTAAATGTCTCAACCCACGTTTTCCCGTTGCATCGAATTTTTGTGTAAAATAGTCATCATGATTTCAATTGCTTGTCAAATAATTTTGTATAACCAGTATCCATTCGGAATCAACGTCGAAAATGTTCAAGTGTAAATTTAGCATTTTCACATTTGAAGTAGTGGTTGAGAATAAGTTCATGACATTGTTCTCTATCACGGCGAATGTAGCGTCGACCACTTTACGTTCCACCATGAGGACAATTTGTGTTTGGTAATAATTGAGAATATAATCACATGAATATGAACGTACCGAGCATGTTTGAATGACATCACAACTCTCAAGACAAATATCATATTTGAGTGAGTCATCTCGTAATTATTTTTGTTATAAGTTGGGTATAAAAATACACGGGAATCCTACGAACTGATTTGTAATTTTTCAGTTCTTACAAATAATCTAAAAATAGAAAATTACAATCGAACTGAAAAAATAAATTACAATTGATAAAATCAAATTACAACCGAAAAATAAAATACAGAAAGAATTTAGCCGAGACGAGTTAAACTCTTTCCGCAAGAAGAATACGCCCCGTGTGGCTGCTAATGGTTCAGGCATAACTTCCCCAAAGATACAACGGCAAACGTCTCTAAATCTGTAGCACACCAGATTTACGAGCTCCGGCGAACAAGAACGGAGTCAAGAATTGAGCACTAAAATATAAATATAATTTTTATTTTCTCTAATATTTCTTTCACTTTATTTCTTCTGCCGTGTTGTGATACCTCTGTATCTCTCCCTCAAATCTTATTGCAGATACTCATTATATAGATTGAGAGAACAAAGCAATTGGTCTTCAAGCATTAAATTGTTTGGTGTCCTCACGCAAACAACAATCCATATGATAATAAATGCCTCTGACACTTCCTAATAAATGCCTCTGACATAAATTTTGCAGGCTTCTGACAATATGGCAGGCACCATCACCATTTCACATCCTCTGCACAATGGGACCCTCATATTAATTTATTTGCTGCAATTTGCACTCACATTCTTACAATCCCCCACATGAGTGCAAATTAAATATAATATACTATGTGCTCAATCCTCACAAAACTCTATTGCATCAGAAAAGGTAGCTTTTGGCTTTGAACCTTTCTTTGTAAACATCATCGGATGCACTGGCGGACTAGTGGACATGATGCCTTGAACTATTCCTCCGTAGTGTACACCGAGTCAATGACATTTACACAATAGAGTCTTAACTCCATTCCGTTCTATCGTTGTGTCCGTTTTGGCCATGGACAACACAATGGATTCATAAGTGTTTACATTTGAAGCGGCCCACACTTCACACTTACATAGGTGACCTCCCTATCGAGAGTATCCTGTTAATAATCCACCTTTACAAGGTTAGGGATTCATTAAAAGTCCACATGACTTACCCTCACCACAATCAACAGGTCATCTTGCACTTGGAGTGCTCTAGGGAATAGCTCTGGACATTCATATGTTCCAAGTGCTCAACTGAATTTTCATAGCTCAGTTTTCCCTTTGAACCAAGTTCGTGGGATCTCCACTCAGCATGGTAGGGTTACCACTATGATCATTCTTTACATTGTGGATTTTTAAGCCCATTCCCTCTAGCAAAACAACCAATTGATCTCTATTCAATCCTTTCGTCAAAGGATCAGCCAAATTTTCCTTAGAATTCACATAGTCAATGGAAATAACACCATTTGAGATCAATTGACGTACGGTATTATGTCTACGACGAATATGTCTAGACTTACCATTATACAAATTGCTTTGCGCCCTACCTATAGCAGCTTGGCTATCACAGTGAATCATCACAGGCGGCAAAGTCTTATCCCAACATGGAATATCGGATAAAAGATTTCTAAGCCACTCGGCTTCTTCACCAGCTTTATCTAAAGCGATGAATTCCGATTCCATCGTTGAACGAGCTATACACGTTTGTTTTGTGGATTTCCACGAAACAGCTCCTCCTCCAATACAGAAAACATATCCGCTAGTGGAGTGAGAATCCCTCGATTCTGATATCCAGCTTGCATCACAGTACCCTTCAAGTACGGCTGGTGCTCAACTTACTCACCGGATAGGCCAAGTCTGGTCGTGTACAATTCGTCAAGTACATCAGACTCCCTATTATCCGTGAATAGTCTAACTGAGCCACTTGTTGACCTTTATTGGCTACCAGATTTATACTATGATCAAGGGGTGTCTTCATGGATAGTTATCTTACCTTAATGGATTCTCTATCTTCATCCCTTCGCCAGGTAAAAAACAGAATTTGATTTTCTTGATCTATTTTTCTGTTTTGTTGGTGTCACATGGATAGTGATTTTCAGTCTTTTTCTGCATAGAAATTAAATCTTTGATTAATTGGGTTGCCCAATTGTTCCTTGAATCTTCTTGTCGGAACACAGTTGATTGAGAATTTGAGAGAAATGAGTTGGGATCTTGGAGGTTGCAATTTCAAGAAATGCTTAATTTTGAAGTATACTAGAGATTTATTAACAGAGCAAAAATAATTATATGCAGCTATGATTTGTGAAGTTTTACTTGTGTGCATTGGTTTGAAATAATGCTTATTTTGTGCAGTTAACTAAACATCTTATGGGTTACATTGTGTTCATAGATCGTCGTATAGCAAGTTTATATATGTGGCATATAATACGTTTACTTTTGCGTAGGGTTTAATGCACCAAATCCCCCTGTATTATACTAAATTTGCGCATTTCCCCCCTCTAATTCAAAAATTGCGTCAGACCCCCTTATCTTGAGGGTTGACGAGCTGACGCTCCCCAAGTTACATTTGAATGTTAACCCCGTTAATTTTTTTTATAAACTTCCCGTTATGCCCTCCTTTATTATATTTTACAAGTGAAACTGAAATTTCAATCATAAACATAATCTCTGTCTTTGCGATCGACTCACTAAATTCTTCTCACATTCAACAAAAAATCAGATCTCCCCTCATTCACGCCACAACCCTCCGCCGCCCCCTCCCCACTTTCTCTCTCATCCTCCAATTATTCACCAGATCGTCGATTGCAGAAACATCCATGGCCGCCACGACCTTGTCCCCGTCCTCATCGGCCCCTCGCGGTAACGACGATCGCCACATCCCCTCTGCCCTAGCCCTCCCCGCCGTCGTCGCCACCGCCACCCACCGCCTCCCTCCCCCGTGTTGGTCGCCCAACGAGACGACGATCCTTATCGATGCCTACAGGGATAAGTGGTACTCCCTCCGGCGCAACAACCTCCGCGCCAACCATTGGAACTCCCTCCGGTGCAGCAACCTCCGCTGCGCTGCCCCGACACACCCCCGAAGACCGTCGTCCAGTGCCGCCACAAGATGGAGAAGCTCTGCAAGCGGTACTGCCCTAGATCCAGAGGGCCGCCGTGCGCGGCGGCGTCCACCTGTATGCCTCGTCGTGCGCCCACTTCCAGGGGATTGATGCTATGGAGAAGGGATTCGGCGACGATCTGTCCTCCTCATCCTCAGATGGCGAGAAAGACGAGGATGATGACGGACTGAGAAACAGCATCAAGCGCATCAACGATTTGTACAATCACAGCCACAAACAAAAGGGCTATTCACAGCCACTGGATCATTGGGTAGCAGTCGGGGTCTGGATCAAGATCCCGGGTGAGATGCCACCCACCGCCAAGGCCTACAACATGTCTGATGAAATACCCACACAGAACCCTAACCCTAGATTTTCAGATCCTGTGTACGACACTTCATATGGGCCCGCCCCAAACAAGGTTTTCAGAGATGGGCTTTTGGGAAGGGATGAAATTGGGAAAAGGGCCGGCGAGAGCGTGAAGAGAAAGAAAATGGATGGTGGTAGTGGCAGTGAGGTGGCGGCGACAATTCAGTCCTGGGAGAGGGGTTTATGAGAATGGAGAAGGTGAATATGGATATGAGGAGGCAAATTGAAGAGATTAGGATGGAGATGGAGCTCAAGAGGACCCAAATGATCTTTGAGTCGCAGCAAAGGATTGTCGAGGCCTTTGCAAAGGCAATTACCGAAACAAGTGCTCACAAGAAGTAGAAAAGAATGCATTCTATGCTCCATTGCTGAAAAGTCTCTCGAGGCAAAGTGAGACACTTGGAGTTTCTTGTTCTGCTTGCCAAGTACAAGTATAAAAAAAAGTAGCTGAAATGAAGAAGGGAAGGGAGTCACCTGTGCGAGATTATGGTGAAATGTGGGGAAAAGGCATTTAAATGGCGGATTTTAAGGGTAAAAATGTAAATTCCACGACTTTGGGGTGAAAAATGAAGAAAAAGCTGCACAACACGCTCGTGCACACCACTTCTGTCATCTTAGACGGGTTAGGGTGCTTCGTGCATGCAAAACTACATTACAAGGGGGTCTGACGCAATTTTTGAATTAGAGGGGGGGAACGCGCAGATTTAGTATAATATAGGGGGATTTGGTGCATTAAACCCCATTTGCGTGGCTTGTTAAAAGAAAATATATATGTCTTCATTATATGCCTATCAATCAGCATTAAATGGCTGTCAATCGCCATTTAATGCCTGCCATGCCTCATTTAATTTTTGTAATTTCGATTTACTGTACGACGTGACTCGGTGAACAGTGGATGGACAGTAGCCGATGATGTTTGGCTATAAATAGTTCTAGGAATTTTGGCTATAAATAGTTTTAGGTTTCATTTATTGTGGGTAGAAGAAATTCTCAAACTCTTCAAAAATTCTCTCTCTCTACATTCATTGTAATAAATTGTGATTAATTTCCATAATTAAAGCTCAGAGTCCGACCTCTCCCCAGTACAAATTTCACACTCTTATCAGAAAATTTATCTTTTCCGTACTTAATTTTTAGTTCACCGTTGGTACCAATCCACATTTTTCAACAATATTAACTAGAAAGAAAAAATTCAGGTATAGTGATATGTATATAACTGATTTTTTAAATGTAATATTATAATTTTATTATAAATTATTTTTTTATGTTGTGTGTCACCATAATATATTAGTTTAATATGTAATTTTCTACTAATGGATTGTTACGATTATAATCAGTATTAATACTTTGAAAAATAAACAATAAAAAAGATAAAGGCATTTTTATGTAGAGATGACTAGTCACATATATAAAATGTTTTGTACAACTACATTTTCATGAAGCTTTGGAGATTGACTACTCAGCCCCAATTGCTAATGACCAAAGTTCTCAAAGGGAAATATTTCCATGATACCTCTCTGCTGCAAGCCAGAAAACCATACAATGTATCATGGCTGTGGAGTAACTGGATGGTGATTAGAGATAAATTCAAAGACAGTTTTAAAGTAGAAGTCAGACAAGGCAGAAACATTAATGTATGGCCTAATCCCTGGATTGCTGGGAAAACAACTGGGCTGCCTATCTGGAATGAAAATGGAGTGAGCAAGGTTACTTGGGTTAGTGAGCTGGTGCTAGGAGATGGCAAAACTTGGAACAGAGATTTGCTGGAGGTATGTTTACCCTTCTGATGTTGAGGCTATTTTACAGATTAAATCTTTAGACCCTCTGCTTGCTGATAAATGGAAATGGGGTTTGGATACCAAAGGAAATTTCTCTGTTACTAGTTCCTACTCTCATTTAGTACTAAACAAGATTTTGAATCTTGGTGTGGCTGAGGGGAGTGATTCTGCTCAAAGGGAGAAGAAGCTTAGGAACATAAGCTGGAAAATGAAAGTAAGCAGCAACTTAGACATTTTATCTGGAAATGTTTATACAATTCTATCCCAGTATGTTTTAACTTGAAGAAGAGAGGCCTTGAGGTAGACCCCAGATGTTTTTGCTGTGGTGAAGACTGGGAGTCTATAGAACATATCTTGCTCATTGTGATAGGGCTAAGAGAATCTGGAAGTTGTCTGCTGTTCATTGGGAAGAAACTGAAGTGGCAACAACTTTCAAACTGTGGTGGAGTAATGTCTGTTCAGTGGATAAGAGGGAAATATTAGAGGCTAGAATTAAACTAACCGCTTATATCCTTTGGTGGTTATGGAAGGCCAAGAACATCTGGAAATTTCAAGCCATTTGGATGCCTGACATTGCTATTCTAAGAGCAGCACAAACTGGCTGGATGGAATTTAAAGCTTACAATCGGAATACAGAAAAGAAAATGGTTGATTTTAGGTCCTTTTTTGGTTCAGTGGTGTCACCTTTTCTTTATCTATTGTTTTGTCTAATCTATTTGTAGTCTGTCTTATGATCTATGGTTAAATCTTGCATTTGGAGGTCCTCAGATTATCTGCCTCCAAAATTGCTTTGATTTAGTTTGGTTAGCTGTTTTTCTTTTAGTTTGTAGTTGGGTTTTTGTGGAGTTTAGACCTTCATATGTGAATAGTCTCTGTTTTCTTGTCTTGAAACATTAGGCGTATGCCTCCGGTTTGTACATATTTCAGTATGAATGAATGCCTATTGTTTTTGAAAAAAAAAATGATAAACAATATTTTATTTTAATTTTTATACGTCTTGAAACATTAGGCGTATGCCTCCGGTTTGTACATATTTCAGTATGAATGAATGCCTATTGTTTTGGAAAAAAAAAATGATAAACAATATTTTATTTTAATTTTTATATATATTATTGATTTTAACCGTTAAAATGTATCTTACACTTTTCGTATCTATATTTAGGCGGGGCGGGGCGGGCCGGGCCGGTGACAACCGCCATCACCGATCGAAACTGAAAGTGCTGACAAAACCGCCATCACCGATTGAATCCTCCATTCGATTCCCGCCGGACTTCCCGGATTTTCTGCTTATTTCTCAACCTCCTTTTTTTCGCAAATCCGATAACAGGGAACAAGAGTATTAGATGAAAGATGACCGCTGATGATCAACAAATAGAATGCCCCTTTACTTGTCAAGTACTCTCTCTCTCTGCTTTTTCTATACGTCATTTTCCATTATATTTTTTATTTACAAACAGTTTACCCCATTATGTTGTAGGATTTGCATTATATGTGTGCCCGCCTCTGTGTGTAATGTGTTTACATACATTATGCCTAAAGTTAGTTGTGCTTTCAGATCTAGGATTATTCGCTCCAATTAACTCTATTATCTATGTGTGTGAGAGCGTAAGGAAAAGTTACGGCCATATATACACAAATTAGGAACTCCGTCTGATTTACAAACCCATATTTTCTTACGAATATGCAGAAAGAGGAGGAAGACAGAGATTTCGATCTGGCAAATGCCGAGCCCGACGCCCCTTTGCCCCTCACTGTCACTTCAAGGGTACTTCCAAATCTTTTTGAGATTATGTTCTGTTGGGTGATTATGTTTTTGAGATTATGTTCTATTGTAATCAAACCAAGAAAATGAATTGGGGCTTTGGATGATGTGAAATGCAGGTGTTGTTCATGTTGGGTGACATTACAGCTGGGCCCGCCTATCGGTTTGCGCAATGGCTTGAGCTTGTCCGCAGGCGGAGCAGCAAGTATCGGGCCTCGGGCTTCCCACACAGGCCATATTACTACACTGAGAGTAGCAGCGCACCCATGAGGTTGGTCTATTCTGTTGATGTTTGTGTTATAAGCATCATAATATAGCTATGGCAACTCTAGTGAGAAAAAGTTCAGATGACTGCAACTAAAGCTAGTTTGGACATAGGATTAGAGAGATAGTGACTCATTCTGTTAAGGAAGTTTTAAGATTGTGTGCATTGTAGTCTATTTTACAATCGAAGAACATATTTATTCGTCTGGCTCTATTTGTCTAAGTTTGCCCCCATATAACTGTCAAGGGATCACAAAATGAATGGTCAGAATCAGGGGATGGAATTACAAGGAAACTATAGCTGATTGTGCTAGACCTAGTTCATGAAGTGCCTTTTCTTAAAAGCATGATAGAATATAAGGTCCTTAATGCGGGCGTAAAAGCCTGGTGTATGATGAGGAAAGTCAAATGTGTTTTCCAATTTAATGTAAACTAACTGTCTGGGAACAGATTAAATATTTTTCGAAGGTGGAGAATGCAAAATTGGTTTGTAATAACTTGTCTATATTTGGAGGTACAATTATGCACGATATGTTTGAAAAGTATTCACTTCCTCGAAAAGGATAAGCCTGCCATCATTGGATTGGGTCATTCACTGCTTGCTCAAGTTTCCAGTGGCCCAATTGTTACATTTACATATATACAACTTTTCAGGAAGTTGTTCATTTAGGCATTTATAGAAGTACATTTTTGTTGTCTCAAGCATTCTTACGCAAGCGTAAAAATAGTGACACTAGAGCCGACTCATTGCCTGCTTTTGTTGTTGTTGACATGTGCTTGGGACATATTTCCCGCAAAGGCAGATATAATATTAACTGTTAAGGTATTTTTTTCAGGGTTGTCTTCTGATCATGTTCTGAAAATTTCTAGTCTTGGTTTCAATTTTTCTACACGTACAATAGTTTTTTATTTATTACGTACAATAAAGTAATGGACAAAAAAGGAAGGAGAAACTTAATCAATTAACTTACATAAAATTGGAAATTTTCTGAGATATTAATCATTTCCATGTGTTGGTTTGAGGAAAAAATGAAGTTGCTTTTGTTGAATCAAATGTAATGTTATGTTGTTCAGCCTAGAAGAAAATAGTGTTGGTGTAAAAACTTCTCCACCGGAGCAAGCAACAGAAATCAGTTTGTGGGAAAGGCTTGGTAAAGCCGACATGTTGGACATTGAATCAAGCTCCTTTTCCTGGAATGCACTGTCTTCTCTTCACCATACAGAGCACAGCAGTACTAGTGAACAGTCTGAGGATGAGATGAACAAAGCACTCGAGGTTTTTAAGACAAGCATTACTTCTAACACGGCTTTTGTTTCTGCTCATCTTCTCTATGTTGTTGGTCACATTTTGGCGTAATTGTAGGCAAGTTAATGACTGAAAATTTATGATTCTTGTATAATGCACTTAATTTAGAAGGGTTAGTTTTGAATTTTGATAATGTACTCTATACCAACAGAACCTGAAACAAAATAGTGCTATTTAATTTTGGTCACTCCAAATATTGCATGTATGATATATAGCCTATCATATCCTTGAGGATCAGTGTTATCAAGTGGCAGACATGGCGGTATGGCATGGCAGATTTGTGCCAAACCGCTCATGTTAAATTTGTGAAGGATGGCTATTATGGTAGCTGCTATGGCGGGATTTTGGCCTGACGACCCGTTTTCCACCATCCGCCATTGATAACACTGTTGAGGATTGACAGTCTATGTTTTTCGTACATGTTGAACATATATTCACTTCCATAATGTTTCGATTTCCTCCCTCTAAATCCATGTCACCTAATCCCTAATCTTCAATTGAACTATTTTATATTGATAATATTGCTGCGGGAGCTAGGGCCTTTGATTTAATTGGTGAGCTAGGTGGTCTGGTCCTCGCATTATATTCGCTTTCCATATACATTTTTATTTGATTACTTTGTAGTATCCATCTAACCTTCAATGGATTGTGTTCTTAATTGTTACAATGGTACAGGTTACTGTTAATTCTGGTGGTGTTGTTTTCTTCGCCCTATTTAGCCAACCGGATTCTGATGAATCTTCTACTAGGGAAGCCGCAGCTGTCATAAAGTTCTCATCATCAAGGATGGCTACTCAATCAGAACGGCTTGGCTATGAATTTGCCAAGTGGCTTGGGGTCCAAACTCCACAAGTTGTATCTTCTTACTTCTAATAGTTACTTGTTTATTGATCTAAAAATGAAGTTTCTCATTCGTGCGACTGTGTAAAAAAAAAATGCAGGCTAGAGTGATTCACAATGCCAGTCCCGAGTGGCTGCAAATTAAAGAGGCTGCAGAAAAAGCTAGGGATGCCGCTACAGCAGAAGGGGATGAAATTGTTGAAATGACTTGTTCAGAACTTTTGGAAGCTCTTGAGCTTAGTCGTTGTCTGCTCATGATGAAGTATGTGTAGAAAGTTTTTAAGCACTGTGGTTGGTTTATTAAGTCTCACTTGTTCTAGTGCATATTAAAGAGCATAAATAGTAAGCTTATTGTGAAAGGCACGTGCATTTCTACATCTATTGCTGACTTGCTGTACCTTTTTGTCTGGTTAAAAGCAATGGCGAAGCTAGGAGTGCTCCTCCCCTGGCTCCGGGCACATTCCTCTTTTTTTGGAGTACTAAAAATCTCAAGAGAACAAAAGGAATATATAACATAATTATAGTTATATGAAAAATAAATGTAATGGGCACTGAAAAAATAAATATGAGCTAGAGCATAATTGTTTTTTGGGACAAAGTTAAGGGAAGTATGATGTGCCTTGCTTTTCATTATTCACAACTTATTCTGTTTCAGAAATGTGACATAGTTTCTTGCCAATTCTAACTCTAACAAAGTGTTCTGTTGCTCAATGAAAAGAGTGATTCAAAAATATATATGCAAATAGGTTTTCATTAAGAATTCTGCTGTGTGCATAATGTATGTTAGAAAAATTTTGTTGTAGTGGCATTTACAGTACTTAATACACAGGCGCGGAAATACAAAATCTGTGATTATAGATTTTTTGCTTGTACAACGATAGCAACCCATACATATTTCTGATGCATGAGAATCTGTGATTGCAGTTATGTACACGGATCTCCTTTACTAGAAAGCACAAGCGTTTTCGAGTCACGTGAAGTTGCCGAAAAGACTGCAGCAGCCCTCGGTAGAATTCTGCTGTTAGACCTTGTCATAAGGAATGAGGATCGTCTTCCTTGTCGCCATTTGAGATGGCGTGGAAACTTTGCCAACTTGCTACTGGCTGAAAAGGCATCCTATGCAAATGTGGATGCACTCGAGGTGGCCTTTGACTCTGCAATCAAGAAATACAGGCCCAAGGTAATCCGAGCACTTCAAAAAGAACGAAGGGCAACTTCAGTAGACAGTCGCTTAAGCCCTCCTCAACCAGGACTTGTATCACAGACTTCTGATGTTTCCGATATAACAGAATCATCCCCGAAATCTAGCAATATTAGTGTAAGGAGTCTCTCCCTTAACGAGTCAGCCTGTCCGGATTTACACATTGTGGCAATAGACTCTGGGGTACCTCGAAGGCCACCAGCCGGAAAGCGTGCGAATGACCAGGAAAACTATCCAAAGCTAGTCGAGCTCCTCATAAACAGCTCCGAATATGCATCAGAACTCTTGCATGATATAACCGGGGGTAAATTAGGGACTTCATCAGGAAATGCCGATCAAACAACTGATTTCCGCGAAGGCGAAATGAATTCAGTCGTGACAGGTGTGAGTGAATTCAGACGCGGGTTCCGAGCTGCCCTCAGGGACTTGGAGGGATTTCATATATTCCTTATTACCCTTCACCAGAAGCTTGATGGGCTTTTGCGTGCATTTCTTGGCATAATTAATAAATCATCTTTTGGGGAGCTCGAGAAAGAAGATTTGGTGGTCTCCGAATCTCCACCACAGGTTAAAGGGACAGAGGTAAACTGTTCGTCCCCACCCAGTCGGGAACGAGTCCTTGGTGATTGCTCTTCAGATTTGAATGATTCGGAATTAAGGAGAACACCTTTAAGGCCATCATCTGTGGGGCATAGAGAAAGTTTAGATAGTTGTTCTCCAATGCCACGTGAAAGTTGTCATGGGAAGTTGAGCAAGGGGAATAATGAGGTCTTTCGTAGCTTGAGGCTGACATCAAAGCTCCGTGACTTCCACAGATTTGCAAAGGTTTGTGAACGTATAGAAACTTGAATATCGTTGAGAAAGAAAATCTTATTCTTTCTGTCACCACTAGCTGCTGTTCTTGGTACTTGCTGGTCTCGCGTGATGGCAGCATTAACTGAAGGATTATACATGATCATATTTATTCTCTTCTGGCTGGAAATGTTTAATATTATCTTTCAGTATTAGGAAGCTGGTAATGTTTGTTTCTGGAACATAGTAATGAGTTTGTCCCTACCAGGATTAAACTATTAACATTGTCATTTGTCAATAAGGTTTGGGAGTAGGTGGATAGACCTGAATATAAGTAGGTTTTAGCACTATTTTAGTGTTAAAGAAAATGACGGACTCGCATGGAATGATTACTACGAACAATGTTTTAGACTAGTTGTAGAAGGATACTAACAAACAGAAGTTAGAGATTTTGATGAGTCATGGTACGGCCAGTGGCCAGGCTTGAAGTTATTAGGATGTTCTGGCTATGATGCTAACTAAAATCCAGAGTTAATCACATGAATGTTTGTTCAGATATATATTTTTTAAAAACGTCATTCTTCACTGAAATGTACAGCTCATATATGGTATGGTTTTCTTGAAGTAAATTTATATTTTTCTCAATTGTTGTGCGGAATCTGATGTATAATTACTAATTGGTTGTTTGGTGTTCCTTTTTCAGGTGGATGCAGAGTTGAACAAAGAGTTAGAACAATGGAATGATATGCTTAAGAATGATGCAATTAAACTGTGCCAGGAGAATAATTTCACCACTGGGTTTTTTGAAGGTAGCGATAGCAATTATGTGGTTGACGCTTATGAGTTGAAGGTATAATTTTTTGTTGTCAGCATAATTTAGTAGTAGCATCATTTTGTCTTTTCCCTGTATAGTTTAATTAGGACTTTCTTTCGTGTTGTCCAAAATTATCAGGTCAGGCTGGAGCATATTCTTGAGAGGATAGGCCTTATATCTGATGCAGCAAACACAGAGAAGCCATCGCGAATATCAGACAGTTTATTTATCGGTGGTGCACTTGCTGCAAGATCCATGTACACTTTACAGCTTTTAGGGATTACACATATTTTATGCTTGTGCTCGAATGAGATTGGACAGGCAGATTCTCAGTTTCCTGAGCTATTCAAGTACAAGAATTTTTCGGTAAGTGATGCTTGCAGCCTTGTGTCAGCCAAGTAGTATAATATATTATTATTATTCTAAGTGAACAACCAGAATACTTCTTTATCATGAAATGTACGACAGCTGTGTCGATCCTCTAAATTTGGGGTAATGAATGGGCATATCACAAAAATATATTTGCTTTATAATATCATTTCCTTGCTTGAAGCAGAAAAATGAACAACCAGAATAGTTCTCTTTATCATGAAATGATTTTCATGAAACAGATATGTGACAATGAGGACACCAACATCAGCGAAATTTTCCAAGAAGCTCACGATTTCATCGATCACGTCGAAGAAACAGGTGGGAAAGTGTTGGTTCATTGCTTTGAAGGCAAGAGCAGGAGTGCAACACTAGTTCTCGCATATTTGATGCTCAGAAAGTAATTCCAGAATTTCTCTCCATCAATATGTTTTCTTATCTTTAACATTATCCAGACTGAATTCTTGCTCATCGATTGCACGCCACAGAGAACCTTTTCTGATTTTCAGCCATTTGTCTTATTTATTTATTTAACAGAGTAAATTGTAATTTTAGTCTTGTATGTTTCACTACTCTACTTTTTCGTCCTCTTCGAATTGCGTTTTTGATTTTCGTCCTGTATGTTTGCAAAAAGGTTACAAAAAGGTCATTTTGAAACATAAGGGACGAAATTGGAACTTTTTTTTGCAAAACATAAAGGACCTTTTTGTTGCGAAAAGGACCTTTTTGTAACCTTTTCGCAAACGTACGGGACGAAAATAAAAAACGCAATTCGAAGAGGACGAAAAAGTTGGGTTAGTGAAACATATAAGACTAAAATTGCATATTATATATACACACACATACACCAATTCTGTCTCTTGTTTGAATTCAGAAACTTCACTCTGTTGCAAGCATGGAATGCCCTGAAGCGGGCCCACCGTAGGGCCCAGCCCAATGACGGGTTTGCAAGGATACTTGTGGAATTAGACAAAAAGTTGCACGGCCAAGTCTCGATGGAGTGGCAGCAGAGGAGGCCATCAATCAAAGTGTGCCCTATCTGTGGGAAAAACGCGGGCCTCAGCAGCAGCTCATTGAAGCTGCACTTGCAGAAAGCGCACAAGAAGCTGTCGTCTGGCAGTGTGGACAGCGCCATGAATATGGAAATACAGAAGGCACTCGACGCTCTTAAAATAAGTCGTGGTGGGAGCGTAAGCCCCACTCAGAGACTTTCTCACTCGATGACTGACGAATAAGTGAAAGTTTTTTTTGAGGTAATTGAGAATCGGGAATCGGGTTTTGCCTTTTGTGAATGTTTTGGAGTGTGCAGATTGTGCCTTGACCGAGTGGTTGAAGAAGAGAAGACGAGTTAAGAGGTTGAGAGTTTTTAATGGCTCCAGTGTACTTAAGATTGGCTGTTGTAGTTGTCCAGAAGTTAAAGGAGAAAAGAAAATGGCTGTTGTATAATGTTACTTTGTGACCGTTAGTACCAATTTCAAAAGCTCGTTCTTTCAGCTTCCTGTGATGGGAATCAGCCACAAGGCTGGGCCGGTTTTGAACTATGACCCGCTCACAAAGAAAACCCATTTGACCCGGTAGGAATCAGCAAACCCGATTTAAAATTGTTGGTCGGATCATTTTTATTTAAATTATAATCCAATGTATTGCTTTTTGAACTTGACCCAAAAAAATAAATAAATAAATAAATCAACTAAACTATGGTTTTCATTATTTTCATTTTTCTGTTTATTATATTGTTGTTTCTAATTCTTGTAAATCTAATTAAACATAGTAAGAATTAATTGTTTGCATAATAATTATAAATTAATGTAATTCACCTAATTATTGTTATAAATTGAAGTCTTCAATCTTTACCAAGCATTCATCAATCCACACAAATAAAGAATAGAGAGAACGAGACAAAGAGAACGAGAGATATATGAGCAGAAAAGTTTGTGATCTTTATTCATCGATATATTCCCTTTTTATAGGGTTTACAAGAGAGAAACCCTAAAACCTAATTCTCCTAATTAATGGACTTCAGGCCCAGTTGTATATTAGTAATGTCCACATTCATATATTTATAACACTCTCCCTTGGACATTACTACATGTCTCATTAAAAACCTTGCTAATAAAAACCCGACAGGGGAAAAAAAATTAGTCAAGGGAAAAAGAGTACATGATTTATAAAAATTCATGTGTTTTACTAGCTGCCTCATTAAAAACCTTTAACTAATAAACCCAATGGGAAAAACTTAGTTAAGGAAAAAAGAGTACAACATTTGGTCTTCAGCACCTAATCTTCAGGATTATTTTGAGTTTGTCCCTCCCCCTGAAGACAATAGTCTTCCAAGTTTACGCATACCAATACCAAAATATATTTTTCAAAAGTAGATGTAGGAAGGGACTTGGTGAATAGATCTGCCAAATTCTCACTAGATTGTACTTTTTGTACAATAATCTCACCGCTCTTCTGGAGCTCGTGTGGGTAAAAGAATTTTGGAGCAATGTGTTTTTTCATGCTTCCTTTGACGTACCCACTACTCATTTGTAAAACACAAGCTGCATAATACTCGTAAAGGACAGTGGGGGTTATATCGTTTGTAATTCCACATGACCCACGAATATGTTGGATTAAAGATCTTAACCATACACTTTCTCGTGAAGTCTCGTACAAAACAATTATCTCTGAGTGGTTTGAAGATGTAGTAACCATGAACTGCTTAACCGACTTCCAAGATATTGCAGTTCCACCACAGAGAAAAACATAACCAGTCTGTGATTTAGCATTATGGGGATCAGACATATAACCTGCATCCGAATAGCCCACCAATGTTATATCTTGGTTTTTCTTATAAAGTAAACTAAGATCTTGTGAACCTTGAAGATACCTAAAAATATGTTTAATACCATTCCAGTGTCTCCTCGTAGGAGAAGCACTAAACCTTGCTAGCAAGTTTACTGCAAATGCAATATCAGGCCTGGTGCAATTTGCAAGATAAAGTAATGCGCCAATGGAGCTCAAGTAAGGAACTTTTGGTCCTAAATTTTCTTCGGTATCTTCTTTAGGTCTAAATGGATCCTTATCCGCTTCAAGGGACCGGACAACCAAAATTTGACCGCGGGTCGTAACGCGGCAAAATTAATATTTATATTTTTCCTCAACTAACCCCTACTAACTAGTAGTAGTGGCGAGCAAGGGTCGAACCCACAGGGAGTGTGGAATTTAATTGTAATTATTCTCTTTAATTGAAATCATAAAAATACTAATAAAAAGGGGGGGTTTTGGTATGAATTAACTAATGACTAGAATTATGAATTATGGAATGAACTCAAATGCAACAAATAAAAATGGTGATCAAATAAATGGGGAAGCTTCTAGTCCACGGTTCCGTCTACACCCTCGACTGACTCGTCTAATTAATTTTAGTATCAGATTTCGTTATCTCATGGAATTACTAGCTCTAGGTAACGACACGGTCTGTTACCCGATTTTTTTCTTATTATTAATTTAACCGCGAGACGCTCGACGATTAAACCTGACTTCTTGTACAGTCCGGAAAAACGTTTTCAAGATTTAATACAATTAGCCGCTTTACGAATTAGAAAAATAGGCTAGACTAATTAGTGAATTCAACCGCGTTCGTTCACTTAATTAGGCCGTGTTATCCCCGGTAGTTACCATCTTCCGGTTACCTCTTATGAATTAAACGCAACAACAATTACGGATTGCAGGTCTAACTCAGATGTAGATATGAAAAGCCTAATCTAGGTGATCAATCTAAACAAGACTAAACACATCATGGTGGATTATTCAAAATAACACAAGCAATTCCAAAACGATATTAAAATCCTCAACCATATAAACCAATCAAAAACATAGTCAATCAAAGGGTTCGACTTCCCCGGAACTCGAATAAAGGAACTACTCACTCATAGTGTTCGAAAACATAGTCATAAAATTAGTTACACGAGAAAAATAAACAAAGAAAAGAAAAGAATAAATCTTCTCTGTTCCAATGTCGTCTGTTGCCTGTGACTCGCGATCTCCTCCTCTCTGTTCCAGCCGCAATTCTGTTTTATGATGATCCTAATCCAAAATCTCATGTATATATATATCCCCTTCCAGCCACGTGTCTCCTTTCTTTTATATGTAATCCCAAAGTCAAATTAAAGCAACCCAATAGTAAGTGGGCCTTTTCCTATCCGCATTCCCACTTCCTTCAAACACAAAATCCATGGGCCCTATTAATATTAATTCCCCACGTCACCACAAATGAGTTGCATGGACCTGCTACACGCAGTACGGGGCCTGCTGGTTCAGTACGGGATACCCCCGTACTCGCTGGAAACTCTTCTTCAACCTTCTTCCGAGCATCCACACCTCATCGTGCAACCAGAAATAGCTCCAAAAATACTGAAAATCACTCAAAAACTCATCAAAGCACAAGTATTGTTCATAATATCAAATAAGTCGAAAGATGCATAAATGCAAGGAATTAAATGTGCACAATTACAACATTAGACCATTAATACAAGCACGTTTTCCGACTAATCAAACCACCCCACACTTGAACGATGCTTTTCCTCAAGCACGCCCGACTATTCAAGAATGAACACAGATTCACAAACATCAAAGGGTTTATAACAAGGTTGTAATATAGGGTATGGGCAAAAACGGCTAGAGGTGTTGACAAGAAAGAAGAATAATGTAATTCAAAAGAACCAAAGCAATCGTGCAAACCCCATCCGAAAAGAGCTCAAAACACAAACACACTACCCACAAGTGATAACCAACTAATTTCAGCTCATCTCATCATAGCACAATCGTCAACCTCTCCAATTTTTCTTTTTTATTTTTTATTATTATTTTTTCTTTTTTTTAAAAGTAACTATAGTTAAAAAAAACCAATTAATTTCTAGATGAATTGATAAACAATCACCCTCTAAGCAATCAGGTCCATTCATTCACCAACACTCAAAACACACCTCCCTTTAACCAAACGACGACTTCTAACACACATCCTTTCCTCGAACAAATAACCCCTACTTAGAACACACAATATCAAAACACACAACCCCTAATTAAACTCAAAACACACAGCCCATTTACACACCCCAAACAAACAAGAACATCTGCTCAAATTAGACAGAAATTTACACGATCACTCGATTTAAAGGTTCAAATAAGATGTCAACAAAGGGTCACATGTCATGTAATATGGTATCATTCAAAGAAAAGGCTCAAGCTCAAGGGGGCTAACTAATGGATAAGAAAAGGAGTTCGGTTTAAAAGAAAACAAGAAGAAAGGCCACACAAAATAGGTTCATTCCTAAGTACCCTTATCAATCATGTGCATCCATATTCATCAAGAATCAAACATAAACGTGTATAACAAGGCAAGTTCTAGAAAGATCAACCAGTCATGACATCACACAATCAATAAAAAGAGCATTATAGTCAGTGTATGCTCATTGGCTTAAGCCTCACGACAAGTAGGGACAACTAGTGATAATCCTCATGCATTCAACTATTAATGATCATTGAAAACAATTAGCCAATCAATATGCAGCACACAAGGACTCCAAAAATTTTCGCACACACCAAAATTCTTCAAAAATTGGCATCACAGAGGAAATAAGCATAATCACAAAAGATATACAAATAAACTTGACACCGTCGGGCAACACCGAGTACAACTCCATATAATGAACAGAGAAAACACACAGCATAGCACAAGTAACAACAACCTCAAAATCAATTCCAACTGGCCTCACCCCACACTTAAAAATTTGCGTGGTCCTCAATGCCACAACACTAAGAATGCATAAAATAAAAGCAAAACAGAGAGAGTTTACGAACTTCCCTGGTCATAGGTAGCGTCCTAGCGCGTGCGGCCGGTGGGGCCGGAGGCCTCAGTGAGAAGGGTCTGCCTCCTCAGGTGCTCCTGAATCCTCGAAATCAACGTTGCACTTCCTCACAGCCCACCAAGCTTTGTGTTGTAGCTTGACCGGCAAATGACAGGGCTTCCCGAACACCAACCGATATGGAGACATGCCGATTGGAGTCTTATAAGCCGTTCGGTACGCCCATAATGCATCCTCCAATTTAATTCTCCAATCCTTCCTGTTGGGGTTCACCGTCTTCTCCAGGATGGACTTAACTTCTCGGTTCGACACTTCGGCCTGACCACTTGTCTGAGGATGATAGACGGTCAAAAGCCGGTGAACAACACCATATTTCCTAAACAGCGCCTCCACTGTCTTGTTTCAAAAGTGTGTGCCACGATCACTGATCATCGCCTGTGGAATCCCGAACCTAGAAAAAATGTTAGATTTAATGAAACCTGCAACAACCTTCGAATCGTTAGTCCGGGTGGCCTTTGCTTCCACCCATTTCGAGACATAGTCCACAACAAGTAAGATATATTCATTACCAAACGAAGAAGGAAAAGGGCCCATGAAATCAATTCCCCAGACATCGAAAATTTCACAAATAAAAATAGGGTTCTGAGGCATTTGATTCCTCTTAGAACTGTTACCTGTTCGTTGGCAATTATCACACGACTTACAAAATTCATGAGCATCTCGAAAGAGTGTCGACCAATAAAATCCACTCTCCAACACTTTATGAGCTGTCCGTCTACCTCCAAAATGATCTCCACATA